ATATGCTCCCCTTTACGCCCAGGGCTCTGGGCAGGTGCGAACTGGTCTGCTCTCTCGTGAGAGCAGGGTGCTTGAACATGCTGTTGCCCGAAGAGAGCACCCGGGAGGGGCCATGCTGAGCATGCCCTCGGCCAGTCCCCCTGTGCCTCACCTTCTACTACCCTTCCCCCCGCCGCCCACTGGCTTGGGCCAGTGGTCTCCAGCCACGGAGGAGGCAGCCGGGTCTCCGAGGGAAGGTGCAGTTGTTAAGGTCACTGCGGTGAGTGTCGGGGCGCGTGGGCTCGTGAGCTCATCCCTCACCTGTGTTTTGGGCCACCCCCTCTGTTCCGACCCCCTCCGGGGAGCCCTGCTTCTGGATCTCTCCGTGCCTGCCTTTTATCCTGCCAACAGTTTCAAATAGGAAAGTGGAGAGGGCGAGAAAATTCCCCCAATACTCCACTTGGATATAGCAGTTTACCCTCCGACCCTGTTTGCTTGACCCGTGTTTATGCATTTACATAAACTTTTTCCAAGCTATTTGAAAGTCAGTGGCTACCTGAGCTTGTCCTAATTCCTGTAAATGTTTTGGCTGCTTTTTCTAAAAATGGGGTATTCTCCCACAGATCTGTGTCATTACCCCAGTACAGGAAACGAATACTGTTTCCTTAACGTCACATAATATTCAGCGTATTCTCCGACTCCCAACCCCCCCACCCCGACTTCCTCCAAGTTCTCTCTTCATTTTCCTTGACCCAGGATCTTGTCAGAGCATACACGCTCCACTTGGTTGTCTCATCACTTTACACGCTTTGGTCTAGAACGTTCCCTCCTGCTTTACTCCTGGACTTGTCTGTCTGTTGCCTCCAGGGTCTTTGACTTAGTGCTCTGACCCTGGATTTCCAAATAAGTCCAAGGGCTGATTTGGGCTCAGAGTTTGTCTCCCGGTGGCCCTGGGGGAGCTACACAGGTGTAGCTGTGTTCATAGCTGGGGAGTCTGGAATCGGGGACACAGGTGTGCCCTTCTCTGGAGGTGGGAGAAGAGTTGGTATGAGCAGGTACATCTTGCAGGTGCATGAGTTGGCAGCTGCGCTTTGCGCGAGCAGCCAGAGCAGCCAGAGCCTGCCCCTCTGCCGGCCTCCCAGGACCTTGAGGGGTCGACGGCGGCCACGCCAGGTGCGGCCCACACGTCCCTTCCTCTGGCCCAGTGTGAACCCAGCGTGGCCCACCGCCCACCGTGTTTAACAGCGCACGTCTGTGCAGTCTGCGCTCACCCGAGACCTTAGTGAGGGGCTGGGGAGACGGTGAGAGACAGCATCTGGCGTGGGGCGATGAGGAGGTGGACAGTTATCCTTGGTCATCTGTGCCCCAGCCGGGGAGGTGGACACGCGGGCCCCATTCAGACAGGACAGCCAGGGGCCTGGGCGGGGCGGGCTGTGTTTACAGGTGTGGGCCCTCCTTGGGTGCAACAGGTTAAAGCGCAGCACTGTGAAGCTGTCCACAGCCACCGCAGCATCAGTTCGATCCCCGGCCAGGAGTGACCCACAGGGCGCAGCAGACCTCTCCTGTCTCCTTGCTGCTCCCAGGCTGGGCTGGCACGTCCAGCGGCCTTCCAGGTGAAGCTGCCCCTGTGGATCAAACCCTGAGTGGAAAGAGGTCAGCACGCTGTCAGCACCTGAGAATTTGCTAAATGTGTGGAATCTTGGGCCCCTGCCCAGACCTGCTGAATCAGAATCTTCGTCTTTAACCAGATGTCCGGGGTGCTCTTGGGAGCACTGCAGGTGGAAACACAGCGCCCGGGAAGGCCCAGCCTCCCCATCGCTGTTACTCAGATGCCAAAAAATTAAATTCAGACATGAGATGGCGTTTCTTCTAGAATTACTGAGCTGATTTACAAAGTCTATAGGACAGTTGTGGTGCTGATGGAGGAAGATCGGGCAAAATGGACCAACTTGGCGTTTGAAGGTGGCACACAAAACCTCCATCTCCTGCCGCACCTTGCTGCCCCCACGCCGACAGGCGGGTCCTGTCACCCTTCCTTATAGACCGATGTGTGGCGAAAAGTGGGGTTCGGGTTTTGGGGGGTGTTTTGGGAGCGTGGACCGTGTGGGAGGGTGGTGACACCTGGTGATTCGTTTTAGCCAGTGGGATTTGGTAGGAAACGCAGGCTAGGGCAGTAAACCCTTTGGCTTCCCCTGGCTCTCTTGGGACACATTCTGGGTGCAGCCGTGGCCAGGGGGATTTGGGGTGCAGTGCAGGGGCTGGTGTGTGGTGCTCCAGGCGGCAGCTCCAGCCGGACCCCAGGCGACCGCAGCATCCACCCTGTTCTGGCCATGACCTTCTGGATGCCCAGCGCCCAGTCCATGGGTGATGCCGCCCACCTGATGTGGGCCACTGTGATCACGTGAGATACTTGAAGTGAGAACCGCATTCTTGACTTCGTGAGCCACGAAATCGTGAGAAAAACAAGTGGTTTTTTGGACGCATGGAGCTGTGGGGTGACTTGTCTGCACCACTCAGAGCCCCACAGCCAGAGCTGGCGTTGAATAAGCAATAAACAACGGGCCTGGGGAATGCTGCTGTTTGCTCTTGTAGATTATGCATTCTTAGAAGCATCTTTCAAATAACATTCTTTTTTATTTAAAATGTTTTAAGACCCTTGGGAGCAGTGAGTAGCTTGTCACAAATGAAAACAAGCTTGAAAAGTGTCTCATAAATCTTGCAGTTGCAGGCTGCAGTGTAACTTATGGTGATGGACTAGTAGGGCCTGTTCTTGTTTCTCTCTTCTTTCATTTTCGTCCCCACACTGTAAGGCACACCCATGTTATCGACGGGGAGGCTGAGGCGCAGGGATGTTCAGGACCTTACTAAGAGCCACACAGCCAGAGTTGGCATTCGAATAAGCAAGGGTGGGCCTGATGCCAAGCCTGTGGGTGATGGAGGGTAGAACCATCCCTGGGCAGAGTTAAATCACCAAGTCTTTCCTTGGTGAAGGGTGCGGGACATCTGCCCAGTGCTGGAACTCAGAAGCCTTCGGGATCACCGGGGGAGCGTCTTCACCTGTCCAGCCCATCCTGGGAGAGCTGCTCTGCCAGGTGTTCTGACCTCCTCCGGTGAGTGTCCCGGGCTGTGGAGACTGAGCTGGATGAGGAGACGTGGCTCGTTCTGGGTGGGAGCAGCCTAGTGACCGAGCAGGGGACAGGGTGGGTGTCCTGGTGCCAGCCCTGTGCTCCCCACGCCGCCCCTTGGAGGTTTGGTGGGCTGTTAGCAGAAGGTGCTGCCTCACCGATGAGGGAATCTCAGTGCATTTATGGTGAGATGCTGCAGAAATCTGGGCCCGGGGTGTGAAGACTTGGCTCCTTCTGCCATCCGAAAGGTACTTCACTGGCCACTCATGTGCCAGGGGGACGCTGGGCAGTGTGGCAGAACAGTCCTGGGCGGCACTGCTTTCTTCTTGGAATTACATAGAGGCCGAGTGTTGGAATGTGAAACCTTAAAGGAGAGAGGGGGAAGGAGGGAAGAGAGAGGAGGGGAGACAGAGAGGGAAGGGGGAGGGAGAGGGGTGAACGTGTAGAGAGAAGCAAAACGAGCGAATTTAGGCCTCTTCTAGATGCACACTGGAACTCGGTGGGAGGCTGCTCACACGGAGCATGCTTTCTGGAGCAGTCCTTCAGAGTTGAGAAATAGCACCAGACACTACTTTTGCCAGTGTGCGGTCCTGCTGGACTCCGAGGACAGGCCCTGGGGTGGCCTTGCCCCGCACAGCTCGTGGGACTTGCAGACCGGCCGCCATCAGAGCCGGAACCTGGGGCCGAGGCCAAGGCCCCTCTGCCCAGGGCTGGGTGGCTGTAGGAGGAGCTGGCGTGTGGCTTTTCCAAGCCCGAGCGGTTTCCTTAGACTTGGGCACCTGACGGGTTCCCAGAGAGGAATGGGCCAGTGAAGTCAGCTGGCGTCCTCCTGTGGGTCCCCCAATCCCTCTGCTCCTAGACTTGGCTAGCGGTTTTCCTTTTCTTGGAAGCCAAACACGGGAAGCCCCGAAACCCCTTTGACCGCGCCCCCCACCTCCCGCTTGCGTGTCTCCATCCGCCCTGGCCCTGGGGGCGCTTCCTCACCCCACCCGCCCGCCCGGCCCCGCCCCAGTCTGCCTCCATTCTCTGCTCTGCGCCATCCCCATGACCACGGCTGTCCCGCTGACTAAAAAGCCACTTGCCTCAGCTTCGCAAGCAGGCCTCAGTCCCCTGACCCCCTTTGCTCTCCATCCACCTGGCGTCTGAATCCAGTCAGTCCACGGGGTGGAAAATTGGGGTGCAGAGCTGGGAGGCGGCCGCGGGCTGGGAGATGACAGCAAACCCCGACCCTGCGGGCTGCCCTCCCCGGGCATCTTCTCGGTGGCTGTAGCTTCCCTCCGCTTGATGTGTGGTTCTCAGGTGTGAGAGGGCTCAGGGGAGGTGAAGAGCTGAGGAGGTGGGTGCTTCTGGGCAGCTGCCCCAAATTCCCCTCCTTTCCTCCCCTTTCCTTGCTCTTTTCCCTTGTTTCTCTCCGGTCCCAACCTCTTTTGGAAATTTCTTCACGCTCACTCTGCCCCCTAGTGGTGGCGGGCGTGGCATGGCACCGTGAGGGTCCCATGGGGGACCCCCCTGCTCCTTCCCCAGGGGACCCCGCTGAGGCTCCCCTTTGACTCAGTTTCCAGAGACCAAGATTCTGCCTTGACCAAGACCTTGCCCGTCTGAGCCTCCCCTCCACACTTGAGCTCCCCGTTCGTTTTGGGACCCCAAGTTCTTAGGCTCTTTGGATGTCACCCCACTGTGTCCCCATGCCCAGAAGTCCTTGTTGGCAGGTGGTGACAGAAAATTCTAGAGTCTCAGAAATCTTTCCCTCTCTGCCCAGCTGGGCGTGGTGAGACCCACCTCCAGGGCCAGCCTGTGTCCGCTCATGGGCTGGGCTCCCTCACCTGTGGGGGGTGCAGCCGCCTGCCTGGGACTCCGGGCACCAGGCCTCATACGTCTTTCTTTGTTTTGTTTCAGTTTTACAGAGTTTTTGGATCCGTTCCAGAGAGTCATCCAGCCGGAAGAGATCTGGCTCTATAAAAACCCTCTGGTGCAGTCAGACAACATCCCCACCCGCCTCATGTTTGTAAGTACTGCGATTTCATGGCTGACTTGACCACTCTCCCCAGGATGAGCCGAATGGGTTTCGTTTCTGCTTTCTTAACCCCTGCTGAAGGTCGAGAGCAGCCTGAAAGGCAGAGAAAAGAAGCAACCCATCAAATTAACTCCAGTTCGGATTGTGATGGGTGCTGCTTGGCCCTGTGAGAGGCAATAATTATGGCCCAACACCTTGGAAGGAGAAGGAACCTGTTTACCTGAGCTAGGCTGAGTCATCGCCATGTATTTACCATAAAGTAAGACTAGAAACGCGGCGAGGAGTCTCCCCCGCACCCCTTTGTAGGATCGCCTTGAGCATGTCCAAACCCTTTGCTGTTTTAGCGGGGCAGGTGTTGATCCTGATGAGACCATCGTGTGACTTGACCCTGGATTGTAGCTTGTGTCTGTCTCTGTGCTTGTGGGCAAAGTAGACAAGCACTCAAGTAGCTGGTGGAGAGATTGGGGTTATTTTGACCTTTTCACCCCACCCCATGCCAGTCTCATCTGTGCATTCTTCATTTCTTGTGTACCAGGCACTTCCTTGGGGGAGCCTAAGACAGAATCTCACTGAGTCCCACACGCGCCCCAGGGAGGAGAATGTCTGGTCTGTGTTTGGCAGGTGCTCAGCTACGTTGCCGGTGATGAGAGATCTTGTCCTCAGCCACACCGTGAGGGAGCGGGACCCTGCAGGAGGCTGCTGTGGAGGCCAGGAGCTAGGGTCCTGCATCCCTGCTGCTCCCCACTGACCTGTCTCATGTCCTTGAGTAGCAGAGGAAGTGTTTAAGCCCCCCCCCCCTCATTTCCTGGGATCGGTAACTTTTGTAGCTCCAAGCTATTCTGTTGACCAGCTCTTGTGTTTCCCACCCCTGGGAGTGGAAATGAGCTTTCAGCAAGCACCAGAGTGTGCTTTTGCATAGATAGAAATCCCTCTGATGTTCTGGAGGAAATCTTGTAAATTAGTGCTGATCAGAACTATTTTGTCTACAAACTCTCCCAAATGCCCAGAACACCACATAAGCATTAAAGTATTATTTGACTTGCCTCTTAGTGATTATTTTTTCTGCTGGAAGATAAACTCAATTTTGGGAACTCTCAGGGAAGTTGGATAATTAGAGTGTTTATGAGTCGGTCGTTACCTAACCGTGAGCACTGAAAGCTCTTTCCCATTGCTGCTTCAACTCAGATCTTCCACAAATTCTAAACATAAAGGAACTCGTGTGTGTCTGACGAGTATACTCGTTTTAATAGAGGGAAATTTCTATTTGCCCCTTACTCCCATGCTTCAAAGATTTCATATTTCCTGGGCTGTAAAACCCAACTGGAGACAGATGTTCATGTGAGCTGTTGAGAGAAGTTTGTGGTGTGTCCTAGATTTGGAACAATGGATTGTTCTGAGGGCCAGAGACGATTGCCGCCAACATGCCCCACCTCAGCCACTTGTAGGCTGGCGGTGGAGGGAGGGCGTGGGACTGCGTGGTTAGGACTGTGAGCCGAGGGAACAGAAAGGCATGCAGCCCCAAATTCGGGCTCCTGCTCTGATCTCCTGCAATCCGCTCACCCTCTTGTGCTGCTAACAGTAGTTGATAATTTCATCCATTTGGTTACGGCAGTTAGTGCAGTTCCGTAGTGACAGCAGAAAAGCATGGGGAGATTTGTCCTGCCTGCAGCACACGAGAGTGCCTGCCGCCACTTCCACGAGCTTTGTTCTCTGGGGTTTGTGAAGAGTCTGACATGCCATTTGTTGCCATTTTGATTTCTGGAACTCTCCGGGTGTTTATAGAGGACTTTGTCATTGAACATATTTTCACTGTCTTTAAGTTTGGCTTCTGTAGACAGCTCAACTTCCAGTATTTGATATAGGAAATCTTTTACTTTTAATTGGGATGTTTTAAGTGAAACATTCTAACTTTGTAAGCTAAGCAAGCTTTTTTTCTTTTAAGCTGTTGGTATTAACCCAGGCATTTCTTGATTGGGGAATTTAGTGCCTCTGCAGGGGTGTGTGTGTGTGTGTGTGTGTGTGTGTGTGTGTGTGTGTGTGTGAGAGAGAGAGAGAGAGAGAGAGAGAGAGAGAGAGAGAGAGAAGAGTTTTAAAGGAACTAGTTTGTCAAATGTCACAAAAACAGTGTCTGCGTCCCGGCTGGGGGTTCCAGCGCAGCGGCAGTGTCAGTGACACTTACAGGAGGCCGCCATGCCTCTGACTCCGGCTCTGTCTGCGGAGGTGACGTCTCCCAAGATGCGCGTTGGGCCGTTTGACCCCCAGAGCTTGACCCTCTATGACTGGGGTCCCCTCTGTCCAGGAGCAGGGAATCTGGACATCTCCTGGGTGTCCCCACTGGGGGGACACCGAGTGTGTGGGGTTCTCTGAGCAACTTCGGGCGGGACGTCCCCGCTGGGCTGTTGCTGTGATCTTGTTGTCTGCGGAAGCCAGGAGCCCTCCAGGCGCTGCCGTGGGTGAAGAAGTCCATAGCAGCTGCAGGTGACAGGGCATCAGATGAGACTTGGGGTACACCCTCGGGGAACCCTGAAGCTGATGCTGTAAAGCAAAGTAGAATCTGGAAAGAAACAGAGGACAGACTCTGGCACACTTGCAGGGAGCATCGCCCCCATCACCGCCGAGTCATGGGGGGGCCATGGGGCTCTGCTCACTCTGGTCACAGCTCTCAGCGAGGCCTTCTGAGGGTCATTTGGGCTCTCCACTTCTGTTGTCCCCTCCTATCTGTAGTGGGGTGAAACAGTGAGTCCAGGGTGCTGTGACATCAGCGGTCAGACTGGGGTCAAGTGCTGGCGGCTGAGAACAGACCCGGAGCCGAGCTCTGTGCCGTCGCCTTGGGGCCGGGGTGACGGGGATGTGGGGTGGCCTCACAGAGGGGCACAGACACGGGAGAGCTTGGGCCCTGCAGGCCCGTGTCCAGGAGTATGTTGGAGCCCTGTAGGGTGAGGGGTGCAGAACAGCAAGGAAAGCACAGTCTGGGGGTGACATCAGGTTAGTTCGTTATCGCTTCCATCAACAGGCAGGAATGAGGTACCTGCCTGGGCCGAGCTTGCCACTAGGTAGTAGGGTGCAGAGCGGAAGAGCTATCGGGTTTTTCGTCTAGTGGGGACTGGCCTGAGGACCAGCGGGGTGCTCACGAGGGCATTGAAGACTCAGGATGGAACCAGGGTATGGGAGAGGTGACCCCTGCTTTCCCTCGACTTAATTTTTTTTTACCCGAGACCTCGCCTGTGCCCTCGCCCAGCCACAATGCGCCCAGAGATTGATTTTGGAATATTACTGCTATTGTTTGGAGTTGATCACAGGGCTTCCTAGTCTGGAATATGCTGTGTGGAGGGAAGACGGAAAGTTAACTTGGGGGGTGGAAGGGAGGGAAAGACGAGGCTGGCTGGTGATAGTTTAATATCCAGCCTCTGTTGAGAAGTCGCAGACAGCGCTTTTCGCCGTGACAAGCTGTGATCGTTTGCCCACAGCGGGGCCTCCAGCTGCCTACGTGTCCTGAGTTGTCTTCCTGATCACTCGGCGCCACCCCCTTCCGCCAGACACAGAGATGAAGGCATTTGGGGCCCACTGTCTGATGTGGAGAAGTAGTGAGAGTCTTCTCGGGTGAATCTCCTCACGTTGGGGTGCTCAAGCTTGGCCCCTGCTCGGGCCCGGCCCCTCCCTCTTCACACTTGACCCTGAGCATCCTGGTGCCCCCTTTCCATGGCTGTGGGCGTGGAAGGACTGGTGGCACTTCCTTGTTGGCTTCATGGAGGGCGCACAAGGCCGGGCCCAGGGTGGAGATGGCCATCGAGGGCAAGGTGGCCATACATAGAGGGCAGGTGCTGGGACTAGCTTGCCCTGACCCCTTCCTGCGTCGGTGGTGCCGTGGCTGGGGTCTGGGGCTGGGACTTCAGCTCTTCATTCTTCCCCTTGGCCTGGGCGCTGTTCTCAGCACGTGTGGGCTGTTGGGGCACAGTTTTCCCTGGGAAACAGGGACCCAGAAGCCGACGTGCTTGCTGGGTACGCTTTTCTGCACGCTGGGTGGTGTGGCCTGGAGGGGCTGTGGAGCATCAACTCACAACCTCCTAGCTCTGTGGGACAATTGGGGAAGTCACTTCCTCTTGGTGCCTCAGTGTCCTTATCTGCAAAAAGGGCTTTCGCGATGCTCCCCTCCCGGGGTGCAGGGAGCAGCAGAGTGGAGTGAGGCTCACAGCAGCTTCATAGCAAGTGGGCCACAAGAAGCATCAGTATTTGAATCCTAGCGATGATACTTTGCCTTGGATTGCATGATGGGCCCCATTTGGGGGATGACAAGATTGTGACTCAAAGGCAAAGAGGCTGAGTGACTGGCTTGAGGCCATAGGGCTAGCCACTGTCAGAGCCGGGGCTTGAACCCAGGTCCTCTGAATCTCGGTCTGTCCCTTGGTCTGTCCAGATGGAGCCCGGATGTCAGCTGTGGGCGGAGCATGTGCCAGAGCAGCCACAGGCCAGACCCTGCTTAGGAAATTCTGTGTGTATTGTTTTGATGTATACAGGGTATGTCTTGGCCTCTGTTTCCCCATCAGAAAGATGAGGAGGTTGGGCTAAGTTGACACTGTGATTCTGGACTCCATCTGGCCCGGTTAGGGACCTTTGGGTTCCAACGGCTCTGCGTCCTGTTCATGAGCTGCAGTTTTGTCATGTGGACAACAGGAATTCCTCTGCTTTCCTCCAAGCTGCTCTTAGACATGTGCCACATTCTTCTGACATCTCAATGGTGACATGACTGTCTTATGTAGCATGTAAACAGCCAAGTCATTCAGGGCCTGATGAGGAGGCTGGTGAGCTGGCAACTGCATGTGTGCTCAGAAAGAGACAGCCAGGTAGTGAAGGGGTTCTCCTAGCTTGTGAGCCACCTTTGAAGACTACTCCCACACAAGGGTCCCCAAGGTGCCTGGAGCTCTTGCAGTCTGGTCGTGGCAGTGTGTAGGGCTTCTTCAAGGATTTTGAAGGGCCATGACTTCAGCATATTCTAAAAATAGCATCTCACTAAAGCACCAGTGGGCGTTTCCAGAACTGTGAACACCAATGCCCAGTTATCACGACCACCCTGCCGTCCACTGGGGACTCGGGAGCTATTTAGTGCTTTCTGGTTACCCTGATATGTTGTAACCTAAGCAGTAGCATTTGTGCTTATATAGAGATTTTTCTCAGTCGGTGAAATGTTGAAAATAACGAATAACCATAGAATGCTGAATGAAGACTAGATGTGGATGCAGAATGCCCGGTCTCTTGAGTGTGGCCTTGCTACTCACCAGCTGTGTGTCTTTGGATAATTCTTTTAGCCCCTGAGAACTGGGAAGAAAGTCTCAGCTCCTTCTCTGAGGATTCAGTTAGCGCCAGGGCCTGCACTGCTTTTGCTCTTTAGAGGTTCTGTGATGAGCGTTTGCATTTCTAAGTACTTACTGTACTTCTGTGCTTTGGGCCAGGGGAGGAAAGAGGGTGGAGGAAGAAGAGAGACTTCGAGCAAGAGGACTGTCCTTGCTTTGAGGGAAAATTAATATTACACCAAAGGACATTGAAAGGGAATGAATTGACTGACTCTGAGTTAGTCCCACATGTTCCTATTTGCCAGAGAACCAGGAGTGGAATGCCAAGGTTCTTCCCCCTTTCTGTAGGAAAGCCCGGGATGGGGCTTCCTGGCAAAGATGAATCAGCATAATTATAGACTATTCTTTTCTGTTTAAAAAAAAATAACACCACTTTAAATGTGGCTCCCAGCAATTGCAAATCAAATATAACCCACAATCAGATATCCAGTGTTTGAAGTCTGTAAGTCTGTATGTACAGATGTAAATCTTCCTTCTTTGTCTGAGGTCAAGCGTTCAGGAAAGTCATCCAACTAGTGAGTGTGAAGGAAGCTAACGGGAATTAATTATCAGTCAGCCCATTGATAGCAAACTGCTGTCTTCATAAGGGATTATTTGTTATTTTTTTCAGGCAATTTCTTTCCTCACACCCTTGGCTGTTATTTGTGTGGTGAAAATTATCCGGCGAACAGACAAGACTGAAATTAAGGAAGCCTTCTTAGGTAGAGTATTCACAGTTCCTGTTTCAGGGGATGGGGCTGAATTTAATCAAATCACTAGATTGACAATATCTCCATTCACGCAGCTGACTTTTCTATGGGTCAAGTTAATTTAAGCTTAGGAGAAACAGACAAGATGGATTTTATTTTAAAAAAATCATGGTGATTGAAACACTATTATTTTACATTCTTGTTAGTGTTTTGACAGTTTAGGAACCTTTGCCAGACAGGCGGAGTAGACCTCTAAATCACACAGAGGCAGATATACTTAAACTCTAAGAAGAATCAGTGCACATATTTAAGGGCGGGGCTGGGTGAGAGTTTGTGTGCTGTCCTTGGTGCTGAACACGATCAGGTGCAGAGGTGGGGTGGTTCCTTCCGTGGTAAGCAAAGCCAATCCGAAATTCTGCCTCGCTGGCTGTCCACTCCCTCCTTTGTGTCAAATTGCCCCACATTCCACGGAATTCAGAAACTCCAGTGTTTGAAGTCTGTAAGTCTGTATGTACAGATGTAAATCTTCCTTCTTTGTCTGAGGTCAAGCGTTCAGGAAAGTCATCCAACTAGTGAGTGTGAAGGAAGCTAACAGGAATTAATTATCAGTCAGCCCATTGATAGCAAACTGCTGTCTTCATAAGGGATTATTTGTTGGTGACTCCTTGATCAGTCACCATTGACTAGTGGCAGAAATGCAAAAGTAGGTATAAAATAGAAGTTGGAGACAAGCCCTGTGACTCATCTTCATTTTGGAAATTAAGCAAGTGTACAGAGTCCACAGTCTTTGTCCTTTGTCACAACACGAGTGTTGTAAATTCTTCCCACTGTAAGACATCTGCGCGTGACACAGGCTTTTTGAGGACTTTTAAAGATTAAATCCATTTTTCTGATTTGCATGTTCATCACATAGTAAGTAAAGAACACCATTAAGAGACAGCCGCAGTATTTGCTTCTTTAGCAATCCGTATAAGCCAACATGTGCTGCAGTTCCAGCTTCTTGATAATTATGAAAACCGAACTAGGTTTATTTTTTACATCCTCCATCAGAGTTACCGAAAACCTTCACACAAGTTGTGCTGTTAGTTTATTGTGAGGGCTTGCCACTCAGTCTGATAGTGAATCAGAAAAATGAGATTCCCCACAAAAGATGATGTTTGTTAGACACTGGGTTTAGAGGAAATGCAAATGTATCAAGAGAGGGCCTCCCTTTCTTGGGAAAGAGGCAGGGAGAGAGCTAAATCTAGAGTACATTGAACAGCTAAAGGGTTTTCTACTCTGGAGCAGGGCAGGGAATATTTCTTAAATAACTGGGCTTTATTTAGGTTCAGTCTCATTGAAAAGAACAGATTTGCTCTCCCATTATCCCAGAGAAAGTACAGGTTTAATTGCAGGGTATAATAAGCAATGTCACAGATATGTAAGACCCCAAGAGAAGGTCAGAGGCACGTGGTGGGGGCCAGAAGCCTGAGCCAGGCTCTCAGCTCACGACCACTCTGCCCTGGAATATGTCTTCTGTCTTCTCTTCACTCCACCTACTTCCTTCCCCTGCCACACCTCGTTTCTGCCACCAGACCTTTTCTTTGTGGTCCCGAGGTTTTGAAGTCCTGCCTCTGCCCATTCCTGGCTCAGCTGCAGTGTTGTTACTTAGTTTCGTTGCACCTCATGGTCCAGATGTCCCAGGCAGAGACCCCGTCCCCTGGACACAAGTCTCTGGCCAAGATCTAGGTTAGTGCATACCCCAGCCTTCTCCCTTGAGTTGTTGGGGTTTGGAAGTTGCACAGTCTTGGTCTCCAACTTGAGGTTGGGAAGCTCAGAATTTCCAAGAAAGGGCAAAGGTCTCTTCCTCATGTGTCTTAGAAGTGAGGGCAGTGCTGGGGCAGGTTTCACTGCAGTCCCCCAAATTTTCAGTTGGCAGCCCTCACGGTTGGTCTGGACATGTCCACTCCTTACCCTAGTGGCTCCCCGGCAGTGAGTCCCAAGATGCGTGTCTGGGTAAGAACTATCTTTCATGCTTATGGTTATAATTTACTGCCAGCTTTTGGAGTCGGGCTGCTGTTAAGCAGTAAGTAGCTCACAGTTACTTTCTCTAGACCTTTTCATTCTCAGCTAAATCTTCCTTAGGGTGACATTTCAAAATTGCATGGCATACCCTGCCTTCTATGAGTTAACAGAGAAGGTGGAGTTATTGGATGTTATGTTTGCCTAAATAAATGAGAGTCTGCCCTGTAAAAATGATTGTGAGCCTCCCACGGCGCTCATCTTTTGAAGGCAACTGTTCTCAGGAAGCCCTACGAGTCGAGGGTGAGGGCTGAGCTTTAAAAAGCGAGGATGCAAAGCTAGGAATAGCATATCACCGTGGTCTGGAGCACTGGACTTTCTCAGGGAGGGTGATGCCCCTTCTCTGTTCTGGCATCTTCTGCAGGCAGAGCCCAGGAACGCCCCTTGAATACGGCACTCTTCATGCTTCTACCATCTGTCAAGAGGAGGGAGATTTGTCCCATAGAGCACTGGGCTTTTCGGGATTTAGGCTGCAGAGCAGGCGCTGTCAGAGACCCTTCTAGAGAAGCTCTGCTGTGCTGAATTCTCCAGAACAATAAAAGTCTCAGTAAAATTCCTCCGATCTGTGGGAAGGCTCATACACTGTAGTGTCCCCCTGCAGGCCTCTGGCCAGTTGACCTCTGCGCATTTTGCTCTGAACCTTTTTTGTCAGATATAGTCTGGGTTGTCTGTCTGAGGCTCCTCTCAAGGCTTCAGTGCTGGGGTGGGGAGGTGCCTCAGACCGCCCTGAGCCAGGCCCATTGGGCTACTGACCACCACGAGGGCTCCAGTTGACCCCCTGCCCCCACCCTGCTCAGCTGCCCTGCGTTGAGGCTCAGCACAGCCGGTCTCGCCTGTCTCTGTATCTGTGTGGCGGCCGATGCCAACCCTAGAGCCGCTATGTGCTACTCAGAGGAACCTCATTATCAGCTTGGTCTACCTCCAGAATACTGAGATGGCTTTCACCCTAAACTCCAGATCCCCACTTTTTTCTGTCTCCTTCAGGCTTGTGGATCAGAGATTGATGTTGTGGTTACATCACGGTCACACATTTCTAACTCAGCTCCTTGGTGCTTTTTTAAAGAATCTCTCTGTGCCACAGTGAGTCCCACAGACGCAGAGGTTGGGCATGGATGGTGTCTGGATTTGTGTAGAAATCTGTGGCATTCCCTGAGGGCTTTTGAGATCAGGTTGCAATGCTTGTTCCTACAGACGTTCTCCATGCTCAGCCCCACGAGTCCAGGGATCAGAATGAGCCAGTCCCATGGGGAAAACTCAGCAGCCAGCAGGTCAGCCCTACCAGGAAAAGTCCTCCGTCTTTGCTGGGTGATCTAGCAGCCTGTTCATTACCATGCAGAACACAGAGAAGAAAGCCCAGGGATTTTCTTGCTCCTCCCTGCAATGAGACCTGTCAGCAGTGCGCCCCGGTTTCCAGATGGGAAGCTAGCATTTTAGGAAGGAAGGGTCTGTGCACAGTACGTCATCAGAGAACCTCTGCAAGGTCCCCCTGCTCGTTTCCAGTGCAGACACGATGCATGCCTCGTGCCTCGTGTTTTAACGGCAGTGCTGCCCGTGACTCATGCTCTGCTGTCCACCACAGCTGCCTGCGCAACCCTCCATTGCTGTCAACTCCGCTATGTCCAGTCATTTCCTCTCCACCCTTAGGATGATCAGTTTCCTTTAGACAAAGGTGGTCATTCAAACTGACCCCTCCCATTCTCTCTGCTTCCCAACTTGTTCAAGGCAGATGATTTCTGTCTCTATCACCGGCCTATGTCCTTGGTGACTAGGCTGGCCCTTCCAGAGTACTTTCTGCTTGTAGAACAACACATTTATCTCCCTGGATGGCTGTGAGTTGCTGGAGGCAACTCCTTCCCCCAAATGCCCCTCCACTGCTGGATTCATACATAAATCTCCGCTAGTATTGAGTAGTTAACATTTGTCAAAGGGAAATGGTAGCTCAAAGGCCTTATTACTCAACCAAGCGATGGAATAGAGCATCTGTAGACATGATTGCTTCTGCACGGCATTTGACCTCCCGACACACCAGCTTACCTTCTATGCAGCTAAATAACCACACGGGAGTGGGGAGGTCCTCGCAGGAAAAATGCTGCACCTCTGGTCACCTGTGCCCACTGGACAGCCTGTCCTGCACTTCGCAAAGTTCTTCCACGCTGCTTGGAGGAAGGCCCCATGCTGTCTCTTTGACAGTGGTGTCTTCCAGAAGTTCCTGCTATTTTAGGTCACAGAAAACTCCAGGTGGGCAAACCTGAAATCCCAGTTTGGGGATTGACCCTCTCAGACACAGGGACTTGTTTTACACAGGGGACATCTGTTGGTGCGTGATGGCGCATCCAGGAGCTCGCCACCAGGGGAGATGTCCTGTTTCGCAGGAGGATCCAAGCAACTGCTCTCACTAGACTTATGTCTGAGAAGGTTGCCAGAGGAAGTAAAAATATTATGTTTCTTGCTATCAGTAAAAGAAGTTCTACACACTGTAGTATTAAATCTGTTCACATCAAGCCAGGAAGTGATAGATGGACTCCTCTGTGATAATGAAAATTTCAGGGAAGAAGGAGAGATAAATTTCATGTCCTGGGGCCTTGAAGTGTTATGAGTCACTCGCTAAAGTCCTGGGCTAATTATATTTTACTCTAGCAACCAAGTTTCCTCTGTTTTTGTAAGGTTGGGTTCCTATTTCTACAGTCACCAGTTAAACAGGATGATGATGTCACAGTGATGATGCTGATGACTGACTTGCGAGCCAGCTGGTTATTGTTCTGTCTGTTGGTTTTGTTTTGTAGCGGTATCCTTGGCTCTTGCTTTGAATGGAGTCTGCACAAACACTATTAAGTTAATAGTGGGAAGGTAAGTTCCACCAAGAAGCACGGGGTGGCTGAGCCCCCTAGGGCCACCTGAAAGGCGCCTTGGCCACAGGGCACTGGAGGGGACAGAGTTGGCCTCTTCTGATTGTCCCTTAGATAAGTGTCCCCATGCGCTTTCTGTCCTCAACACAGATTCTGCGTCTCCTTTGAATTGTGGTTGCTTTTTCTCAAAGCCAGAGGTCATAGAACAGAGTGTCCACTGGCAGGCCTTTCTTGGGGTTTTGACCCCATTGTGGGCATTGTCAGGGCCACCCACTGATAACCTGGGCCTCATCACTCACTTGGCAGTTTTGCCCTGAAAACAAACAAACAAACAAGCAAACAAATCAACAACAACTATTTATTGTTCTCTTTGGGGAACTAAGAATGGATTGGCATTTGAGCTGTGGTGTGGGGTGCCTTTCTCTTACCCCGGGAAATGATTTCTGTTCTCGATTTATCATATTTCTTCAATCAGCTGCTCTGGAAATGAGCTAGTCACTATAGAGACAAGTGGTCAGAGGCCTGAATTTGAGACCTCACCTTGGCTCTGGCTAACTGTTGGACTTGGGCAGGGTAACTCCCCTCTCAGAACCTCAGCTTCTTGGTGAGGGTGCCTTGGAAGCCCAAGGGGATGGGAGGTGGATGCCCTTGGGCAGGACAGCAGTGCTTGGCATTGTGGGGGTCCAGATTAAAGACTGAGCCTCTGGCCCTGTCCTTGGGAGGTTCTGGTTCCGCAGCTAGACAGCCATGCTTGGTGAGGCCCCGGAGTAGGAGGGGGACCCTGCACCAGGAGTGCGCGTAGATATTTGATTTTGATCACCGATGTTGACATTGATAGCTACAAATATTGCAGGGTTACGACTGGGCCTCAGAGCAGGGAGGACCAGTGAATCAGTATGTAGGGACTATGACCTGATATGGACAGAAAAGGGGCCTGGCCTGCTGCCTTAGCCAAACCTTGCCCATGGTGGGCATTTGGAGAATATTCCTTGAATCCCTGTGGAGAGGTTGACCATCATCCTATGTGGGGCCCTCCCTGAGAGGCGGAAAGGCTGGGGTGACAGAGTAGGTCTGAGCTGCTGGGGCTCAGAGCTTGTCTTTGCCACTTACTGGTGACGTGTGACCTTGGGCCGGAGTGTCACTCCCTACGCCTCCATTTCCCCTCCTGTAAAGTGAGACAGCCCCAGGATGGCGCAGGCATGTTGTGAGGAGGGGTGCCGTGTCCCTCACGCGGTTGCCTGGCGGCACTGTGTCTGGGACCCGTCAGGACTCAGAGCTCAGAGAAACCCAACTGGCGCTCTTGGGGCAATGTGGTTGGCCGCCCAGACTCGAGAGATGGGGGCACAGGGGCCTGGAGTTGGGGCCCCCTGACGCACCACCGAGTGGGCGGGACGCAGGTGGAGGCGGGATCGACACTCCCTGGCCGGGGGCTGTGCCTGGGTCCCGTGCGCCATCTGTGCGCCATCCCGTTAACCACCTGTGGCCTGTGGGTGGGGACCCGTCTCCCCTTTTTCAGAAGTAGAAGCTGAAACTGGGGGAGGCCCTGTGAGGTCATAAAACTAGTAAGTGGCAAAGTAAGTGGAAGCTCAGATCTTCCTGAGCCAGAAGCCTGGGCGTCCTGGAAGCCCGGGGGCTGGAGCTCGGGCAACGGTGGCAGGGGGTGGAGCGGGGAAGTGGGGAGCCGGGGCAGCTGGGGTTTGTTGGTGACGGCGGCGTTTATATTGAAAATGTCCATGGTGTCTTTTGTAGACCTCGCCCCGATTTCTTTTACCGCTGCTTTCCAGATGGAGTGATGAACTCAGAAATGCACTGCACCGGTGACCCGGATCTGGTGTCCGAGGGCCGCAAAAGCTTCCCCAGCATCCATTCCTCCTGTGAGTTCCGTGGCCGAGACTCACCTTAACTCGGTCATGTCTCCTGACCCCTGAGTCGCGTTTGGGTGGGTGGAGGTGTTCTCTTGTCTTCACTGCAGACGGCTGACTTAGTGACAAGACGCTCACGGGGCAGTAATACGTTTACAAGACATTGTGTGTTGCTTTCCTGAGCTTGTGGGAGGGCTATGTGACACTTTACCCATCGCAGTGACATTCAGGAACTTGACAGTGCAGGGGAATTTACCAAGCTCATGCTTTTCAGTTGAATGCTCTTGCTAATTTATTCCTTGTGTGTGTGTGTGTACCAATAGATAGCATACATGTGTATACATAAGCCTCTACCACCCCCCCAAACCCCACCCTACCCCTCACCACTGAGAGTCACAGATGGGTGATCTCAGGTGGTCGGGGGAGCTGGTATAATGGAAGGACCCACCTGTGAGTGGAGGAGTCCTGGCCCTCCAGGTATGTGCTCTGTGACTTAGCTCGCTGTGCCTCTCTCCCTGCCGTGTGCCTCTCTTGACTGGTTGGAGAGATGATTGAAATGAGCGATAATGACCACTGGCGTGTCTGGCGCACCCACCGTGCCAGAATGTTCAGGTGTGTGATGATCTTTACTCCCCTCGATATATAGGAAGTGCTTAGTGAAGTACTTGACATAAACAGTAGTTATTCACCTCCTTGTTTTTTATTGGCACATCCTGGCTCATTCATTCCATCAGTCTTTGTTGAATAGCTTACATGCCAGGCACTGAGCCTAGCGCTGAAGGTGCAGTGAGGCCTAGGACACAGGTCATGTCCTGGCAAGGCCACAGTCAGGGAATGGCAGGCTATGTACTAGCTTAGTGACTTTAGGGTAAAGGAAGAGGACCGTGGCCACAGAGGGTGGCCCCTGGGAGAAGACAGGGTGTTCTTGTGACCCCCAAACCCTTGATTCCCTGCAGGATGATCTTTTTTTTTCCCTAATAACTAAGACGTTCTCTGATAGTTGCTGGGTCCAAGAATAGCTGGAGGCCTTCCCTGCAAAGTGGCTGTTGGGCTTTTGGCTCAGAGCCACTGTAGACCAGGCTGTCAGCTACATCCGGGCACCAGGCACACTGAGTAAGTTGCTGCCGACCTGCTCAACCTCCTGCCAGGCCTGATGTCCCTATTTGGGTACAGGACCAGTGAGGCTCAGACAGGCTCATAACTTGTGCAGCGGTCTCTGAGGACTACTGGTGACTAAATACAACGAAGAACTCACAGTTCATGTTCACTTGCATAAATAACTCCCTGAGTTACAGCTTCTGTAGTCACTGGACGTGGGACTGAGTTGGATCGTGGACTCCAAAGCATATGTCCAAGTCCTGGTCTGCCAACAGGACAGTTGAAAAAGGGTCTTTGCAGATGTTGTGAAGGTAAGCATGTTGAGATGAGATCACTGTGGACCTCAATGGGTCTCAATCCGGCAAGAGATAACCCTTATGCAAAAGAGGCAGAGGGATATTTGAAACTCAGAGAGAAGTGGGCTGAGATTGGAGGATATTGCCTCAACCAAGGAATACGTACTTGCCAGAAGCTAAAAGAGGTGAGGAAGTCATCTCTAGAGCCTTCAGGACATGCCCTGGTCAAGGTTTTGATCTTGGCCTTTGGTTTCTAGAGCCTTCAGGACATGCCCTGGTCAAGGTTTTGATCTTGGCCTCTGGTTTCTAGAACGGTGACACGAATAAATTTGTTTTTAGTGACTGGATTAGTGATCGTTTGTCATAACAGCTATTGGGTCTGAAGACAGAGACTTTGATCACTTACATACCGTTGAAATAACTTCCTTTCTGTAGTAGTTTTTTCTCTCTGAAGTCACGTATTTAGTGATGTCTGTTTTGGAGGAAGCTGTATGATCCAGCTGGAGAAATCCCTGCTGTATTGAGTTATTTGTCTGCTTATTGCTGGGGACTCCTGTACTGGCATTATTGGGGGGGGGTTGTTCCCCTTTGTTTTCCATCTATTGTCTTGCCAGGTCACACAAGTTCTCTGTTGTTCTCGAATGTCTTTTATCCTCCCAAAGGCTTGGTGCTGAGCTTGAAGGGGCTTCAAAATTTAAAAGCAGTAAGAAATGAAACCCTCTAGGAAAACCTTAATCCTGATTTCCAAGTGGTTGGTGGAAGATTGCAGCACCATTTCATAGCTGCTGCTGCATTTGAACTTGGGGCGGAAATGACTCTCATGTGAATATCTCAAGCTGGAAGACTGCTGGGCCGTAGAGATTAGAGGCCAGATATGTTTATTTTAGAGGAACACACTTGCCTAGCAAATGCATTTTCTGACAGGGCTGCCCGCCAGCTATCTTGTCAAATGCAGGCTGATGTTCGATGTGCTAGACAAGTTTTTTGACAGTAGCTATTACTATCTTTTGCTTAAGATGCTCCTTAAAATGTTACAAATTCTTACTCTTTGGCTGACACAGAATCCTCCCCAGCCTCTAGGCTTTGATGGAGATATTTTTGTCAGCTTTTTTTTCCTTTTTTATGACAGGTCAGTGATTGCCTTGCAGAAAGCTGCCACAGCCACTTAGAAACACCCATGAGTGCTGTTCTCGGCATTTCTTGTTATAAATATTAGGAGCCCGAATGGCTGGTGTGACTCTTGAGATTCTGCTCCCTAGAAAGGGTGCTGTCTGTCCTTGGCTCTGGGGAAGGCACATACTCCTCATCTCCCTCCATAAAAACAATTGTGTAGCCATGTGTGAGTGAGTGGACACAGGAATCCTGGACTGAGTTGTCCAGTGCTGACTCCCCATGCTAGGTGAACATGGGTCGCTTCTGCTCTATTCACAGGTGACGCAACTTGAAGGTAGCCCATAGTCACACATCATCCAGCAGAATTTAAAAACAAACTCTGATTTCTTTTGGAAACAAAAGATCTTGTCCTTAATCCAACCACAGCAGCCAAACACTTGCGTGCCCCCCCACGCCACTCCCCCCGCCCCTCGCAAAGTGCTTAAGTTGCAAACCAGGACATCCCCAGAGCAACAGTCTTAGGGACTTGCTCCCCAGACAGCCTAAGCCCCTGGGATTGGAAAAGCAGAGATCACAATTTCAGAGAGCAAGCCATTTCCTTCGGAGTGATGAGGAGCTTGAGATTTAAAGTGGAGAAAAGCAATGCAGCTCTCCCTGAGGGGCTATTTTGAAAAGGAAATTGTCTTTCATTGCGTAAACTGAGCATTTGATTGGATATTGATTCAACTTCTAGAAAGAGGAGAGAATTCCAAGAGAAAAATAGAAAGGACAAGTGATGAATGCCAAATTCAGCGTTCAAGAATGTTCTCCCTATCAAAATGGTGGGAGTGAATAGAAGGTTACTGCTGTCCCGGGGTCACTCAAGTCCAGCAGCTGCCCATGTTTGTAAATAAAGTTTTATTGATGCACATAGAGGCACATTCACTTACGTAGTGTCTCTGGAGGCCTTCACTTTATAACAACAGCTCGAGTCGTTGCAAAAGTGGCAGATGGCCCCCAAAACTGAACGCGTATCGAGCATGCTCTGAACAAAGCGCTGCTCTTGAGGTTGGAATGAAGCAGGGATGAATAAGCAGAGCACAGAGGACTGTCAGGGCAGTGAAACTACTCTAAATGATACTGAGATGATGGTGCCCGCCATTACCGTGTGTCAAGCCCACAGGATGAACAGCTTCCAGAGGGAACCGTGATGTAAACCGTGGACTTTGGGTGACATGTCCGTGAAGGCACATCAGGTGTAACAAATGAAGACGGATGTTGATAATGAGGGAGGCCTACCAAATGTGGGTTACGTGGGAAATTTCCTGTACCTTCTTAATTTTTTTTCTGAGAATATAAAATGGCTCCAACAGTCGGAAATTAGCAGGACAAGCCAGTGGGCTGGAAACTCAGGCACTGTGTGCAGTCTGGAGGTAGAATTCTTAATTCCGAAAACTCAGTCTTAGTTCTTCAGGCCCTCCACCAACTGGATGAGACCACCTGCACCATAATGGGGCCACCCACACTGTGAAAGGGGAGCTTCCTTACTTAAAGTCAACGGATTATAAGTGCTCATCACATTAGAAAAGCAAATGGCTGGCTGTTTGAGCCAGCAGCTGGCCACTGCCACCTTGTGAACTTGACACAGCAAATTAGTCAGCACCCAGTTGTGCATTCCTTCCCTTTCATCTTAAGATCATAAATACCCTTATGATGGCCCACGCTCAGTGGCAGAAGGGCCAGACATTCGAAGGTCCATGTTAAGCCTCAAGACTTCTTTGATGACAGCCCTTGAGATGGACATATAGACCCTAAGCTGAGTGTCTGGGGCTTTGCTGTTGCTGAATGGCTCTGAATTAAGAAATTATCACAAGGGAGCATCTATGCTAATAAGCAGCCAGGTTTAACGCCATGAAGCATGAATATTTGATACTGTAGACCAGCTGGTCTGAGAGTGCTTCAGCACGCTTTGCATAAAGAAAGAGGAAGCAAAGAGAGAGGGAACTGGAACATTCCTTAGTTTTGCATCATTTAATGAAATGAAATTGCTGTCAAGAGGTTTTGCTGGTAGATGGGAAGTTCAGAAAATGCTTCCCTAAGACATGGGCTGCTGACGCGGGACACGGTGGTGATCAATAATCCGAGGCCGGCATTTTCTCTTGAAACTTAGAAATGAAATTCCAGTTTCAGTGTCAGGTCAAGCCCCTTGTAACTTTTTCCTTAAATTTGTACTGTCCTAGGCCTTCCCCTGTGGCGCATTGGGTTAAAGCGCAGTGCTATGGGGCTGTCTGCTCCCACTGCGGCATGGATTCGGTCCCCGGTCAGGGAGGTGACCCACACGGTGTGGCAGACTTCTCCTGACGTGTCTGCTGCCACCTCAGAAGTATACTCACCAATCGGCCTGTTCTGCTCCCCACTCTGTCTCTGGTGAATCCTTTCACCCTCTGCCCTATACTTCTGGCCTGTACCCCAGTTCCTGTGTGCATAAATAAACAAATATTTTTTTAAAAAAATACTTAAATCTTG